CACTCTGTTCTCCTCCCCACTGAGAGCTGATGTGTGGGGAGCGTTCTGGCGCACTATGGCTGCCGTCGCATCATCCAGGTGGGGCTGCACACTGGTGGTGGTGGAGGGGATCCCCATGACCTGTAAAGCGCTTTGAGTGGAGTGTCAAGAAAAGCACTATATAAAGTGTAAGCAATTATTATTATTATTATTAATTATTATCATTCCAGAACCCACAGGAAACGGGGTCAAATTCCTCAGGAGAAGACCGGGAGGGGGAACCAGTTCTGGGGTGGTTCTGCTCCATGAGAGGAGAGACCCAGTACCAGTGGAGGTCGTTCTTCAGGCAGTCCAGCTTCCCTGTTGACCCATTCAAGCTTCTCAGAACTGAGCCACTACCAGCCTTAGCACCATGCAGCAGGTCCTGGATCAGTCCTCATGGACCCCCCCACCCTGCTCCCCTCCCAGGAGCTCCTGCAGGGTGACCCCTCAGCCCCCAACCCCCTGCAGAGGGGGGGCAAGAGCAGGCTGCCCCCAGCAGCACAGGAGGTGAGCCCTTTAACAGCTCGACCCCCACATCCTCACCCCCAGAACTCACACCGCCTCAACAACTTCATTCAGCCCACCGGACCTCTCCAGCACCAACCTCGGGCCGAGCCAGAGGGCAGTGGAAACAGGGACACTTAAATAATGACAACAAAAGCCACAACTCCCACCACTCTTCATGTAAAGAGGGGAAAAAGCCACCCAGCCATGGTGGTGAAGCCGATTTCCTGGTAACATTCACAACATGGCTGGATGAGAACTCTCCGGTCAGGACAGGAGACTACACAGAGGGTGGTGGGAGTGGGGAACAAGCTGCCCAGGCTTACTGTTGAAGCCGATACCCCGGCTTCTCGCAAGGCAGCTTGGCGAGATGCTGGGGACCAGTGGCCACCTCCTGCTGACAGAGTGCACCGCTCGGTGAGCTGGCTCGTGCCCTTCTGCCCCCACCAGCCTCCGGCACGAGAACATGCTCACCAGCGGCCAGGCATGCGATGATGCCGTCACTCGGGAGCGGACAAGAGGAAAACGCGCCTGTGCCACAAGATTACGCACATGAGCCAGTGCGGAAATAAAGACCGGAACCAGTATAAAAAAAAACAGAAAAATGTCCAAGAAAACAAATGACACCCCAGAACCACAGGGGCTGGCGAGGGTGTGATGACAGGTGACCGGATCACTTCCAGGCTGCGAGCCAGGCTCCGGGATTAAACACTCGGCACCCATCCCAGACAGGGCCGATTCTCCACAGAGCAGAAATAGCGGACAATAAGGAAGCAGGACTCTCCATTGGACAAAAACGATTTTATTTTACAACTCAATGTTTCTTGCTTGCTGCCGCCACCTGCAAAGGGAGAGAGAAGAACATGAA